TGGCAATTGTGTTTCACACAAAACTCATTTCTGGCCACAGACACCACAGCAGTGTGCCAGCAGCCTCTGCAGGCCAAAGCTCAGGAGCCAAGCCTGAGCTTAAATTACAGCATTAAGGAAGTCCAAAGTCTGTGACATTGGTAAAAATTCAATGTCCTGGTTCTTTGTATGTGTTTTATTTGTTCACACTGAAAACGTTGCAAAACCTGCCAAGATCTGGTAGGAATATAGTTCCCAGCATTTAGACTGTGATAAACTGGGAAAACTATATGGTAAAGTTTGAATGAGTCCCAAAAAGTTAGTGTGATTAGCCCAATCTTCACTAATTTTTCTCTTTCGCAAACATTCCCATGCTATACTGGGGAGATCACACATATATGTTGCTGGAAAGGATTACAGGTTCCAAAAGCCATTTAGAAGTCTAGCCTAAACATGTAGAAATGATGAGTTAATGCTCAGACCTACTGCATACTGGGAAAAGTCAAATTGTCTTCATATACCTATGAATGGTGGAGCAAAGTAGGAGGCAAATTTGATAGTCAGTCTGGCCATTTTGATTCCCCAGTTTGATTCACAAGCTCCAAACTCTTCTGCCACAAACACTGCTTGATAGAGAGAGAGGACATACTTAGACTGTCATTAGCAACGTGATAAACAGCCCAACTCACCAATATCAGCAATCAGGCTGCCTGGTTCCAGCTCTGAAATGAACTGCTGCACCTTTGGCCATGCCTTGTAGCGTGCGTCATTGAAGTAAGGAGCAATTTTCTCATATACGCTGTGAACGTGGTCCCTCTCGAGTTGGCTCGCCTCCTTCTCCATCACAACCGGGGCTAGGCTAACTCATTTAAGTCAGGGCAACCGTCCTGCAGAAAGGGAAGGGAGACAAGTGCTGAAACTCTCCTTAGCAAAGTACATTTCCTTAGGTTAAGCAGTATGACATTGTTTATTTAGGAAATAATATTTCCAAATACTATGTTGCCATTACAGAGAAATTGCTGAGGCTTTTAAAGGAAGAAAGGTAATCTATTCTATGATTTTATACAATGTATTGTTTTCTTATATAAGTCTGAAACCAATTTTATGACCTACCACTTAGTGTTTATTAACTTGCTTACATTGTTACGCTTTGGAAGCTGTTAACTTTTGCTTCATAATGTCTTCCATCCTTTTTCAATCTACCCTTGAAAAAGATACTTTCTAAAAGTCCTTTGTTTACAGACAGATCTTAAAAACCAGCCACCAAAAATGATGATGAAAACCAAAAGCTGCTCAGCGTCTGAATCAAAAGCTCTGAGGCATCATTTCTCCGCCGCTCATTCAGCACCCAGAAAGATCCATGCTTGCAGACTTCCCATTGCACAATTCATTGACACTGTGTGTTACTGCGAGCAAAAATCTTTTCAGCTTTCCAAGCATTTTTTTTTTTTTTTTTCAGCTGTTCTGGATTGGCATGGTGCACTGGTATTAGCAATGCCCCCAGGAAACCCCTGTGATATTCTGAATAGCCCATTGCATCCTAAGTCATTGTTCAAAGTCACCACGAAGCTTTGTACAGAAAGGCTGTAAAAATTGTGAACTTCATTGACCATATGCTGTCCATGCCAGGATTTCCATCGATTTATGGAAAGATTTAGGCCACCAAGACAGGCTGCTCCTGCTCCACTCACATGCTGCAAACAACTCCATGCGGAATAACTTCTCCTCTGAGCCAAAGGTATCAATGACAACACCTCACCCAAGATCTCTGCACTACAGGTTGGCCATTCATCTGACTCCTGATACAGTCCTTATCTGGTCCTTATTTTCAAACCCATAAACATTTAAAATGCTGCCAACTCAAAAGACTATTGTTCTGTGATTTCCTAGGCTATTACATCAAAGAGAAACATTGGAGCAGACTAAGCCCACATTTGATCCTGCAGTAACAGCAAGAAACTAACTCTGGAGGGGTTCTGGTTATGTCATTTATTAATCCAAAAAACTGTGTTAGGATTAAATCCTGTAGCCCTTAGTGTCTTCTGTCATATCAGATACTCACTCAGCATCACTGTGGAACTGCCCAGATCACAAGTTTCCTGAATATCCTGGCTAGATCAAAGTGATGACAAGTATTGGAGTGGGGTGAAGAAATTCTCTGGAATATCATTGTTGTTCTCTTCATTATATCTGTTGCTAAACAACAACAACAACTTTAGAAATACAGATAATAATAATAATAATAATAATAATAGACGATGATTGTGAATTGCCTTGGTTTAGTGTTTCCTGCATTGCAATGCATATCTTTTTAGTTTCTAGCGAGATTTAAAGCCATCACCTTGCAAGCACTTACACAGGAGCTTAATTCTGTGTGTGCATGCAATACCACTGACTGAATTCACTAGGGATATTCCAGGCACAGAGTTCACCACGTGCATTACTGCGTACAAAACTGGCTCTCCAAGGCAGAAGGATTTTTTTTTATTATTGTTCTTCATTATAACCAAACTCTGCTGTAGAAGCTAGTTTTTAAAAAATACCTTCAGAAAAACCCCGGTTGAAATAGCCGAAGTGCTCTACTGGGGATCATTTCAAGAGGAAGCTGAGGTACTATCAAATATACAGGGGAAGGCAGAAGGAGGCGAGAGAAGGAGAGGGAAATTGTTCTTTGGAAAAGCCGCAACATCATTTCAAAGCTTTGCTATTGCTTCATTTGACAAGAGGAAGTAATAACTGGTGAACTGATGTAAGATCACAGGAGTGAAGAGAACAGAGCTCTTTCTGTTTAACTCTAGGCTTACACTCAGGATAGCTCACTTAGGCAGAGCCAGCCTGGAAGTTGCTACCAGCTCCAGACACTTAATTACCAGGAAAAGAAAGAAGGTGCATATGAAAGCACTCAGCAAGAGAAAGCACATAGAAAGACATCCTTTCAAACTAAGGCAAAAAAAATGTTTAAATGCAAAAAAACCCACCCCATCACGTTTTACACATGACTGTGTGTAAAACAGTCTCTTCTCTGGAACAGGAGCAGAAAGAGATGCAACAAGGGCTAGGATTAAATCCCACCTTGAATTAAGAAAGACTTAGCATCTTTTGTTTTAAAATGGTAGCTCCAAGAGTGAGGGCAACGGTCCAGACTCTCTGAAATTTAAAAAATCAACTCTGCAAGGCACTATCAAAATAAATCTTCTATAAGGTTAAATAAATTCTCTATAAGGTTCTTATAAGAAAGTAACCCTTTGTGGGGAGGCTGGAGGAAGAGCCCGGTCAGGTCGGTCCCCAGCCACCACCAGCAGTCATGCTGTGGGCATTTCTGCCTAGAGGAGTCCAGTGAATGCCCATCTCCTATGCTTACCAAGCCATGAAACAAACCCAAAATGCTTGTCAACACTCCATTTAATGCTTTTAGTACAATGGACTGAAAACCGTATAAAATACAGTGTGCCAGAGAAAGAGAGCAGAGAGGCGTCTGAGGGCACAGCCACTAAGTTTACTAAGTAAAAATGTTCAGACAATCCAAGGAAGCTGGTTATGACCCACATTGCAGAAGAAAAAAAAAAAAAAATCAAAATCGAAAAGCAAACAGGGATGCCCAGCAATCTAGCCTGGGGGAAAATAATTTCTGGGGGATTGACTCAGGTTCAAACATGATTTATACATGCCAATCTGAACCTCAAAGACTTTCCAGTTTCTCTGTCATCCCCAACATCCTTTCTGTAGTCATAGGGAAAGCCAGAAAATAACGTAGAAATCAAGCTATGCATCAGGAAAAAAACCCATAAAAATTCTGCCCAACACAAAATTGGATATTTAGCGCTGCAAATGTCAAACAATGGCATTTTACATTGGTGGTGTTTGCTCACTTGCATAACAAAGGCTTCGGGGAATGCAGATATTTTCTTTTGAGCACACTCATCTCTACCTTTATGCAAAATAAAAAAAAAAAAAATTCTATTCATCAGGGGCTGGCAGGAAAGCAAAACGAAGAGGTACAGAGCAGCAGTTCAGCCTGACTGCCTGTCACCTAATCTTTAGCTAAATTTGACACAACTTGATCGAAAGTGAAATTAAATTTGAGTTTAAAAGCCATTAAAAACTTCGGAGTTCATAAGCGATTATTAACTTCCTGAACGCTGTGAAGCCTCTGACTGTTCGCGTGGGATGCGAGCCTCGTGCAGGCTGTGCCCCACACTTCGGGGAGCCCTGGCACCCCGCAGCATCGCTCCCCAGAGGGTACCACAGGCAGCTGGTGGAGGGGGCTCTGCCTCCCGCATCCAGAGCAGGAGCTCATCCTCTGGCTGTGGTGTGGCAGCTTCTGCTGTGCTAAGAGTGCCTAAAATTTAACTTTGAATTTGAAATGAAATTTTTTGCGAGGGGAATAGGCTTTCTAATTCTAAATAATTTCACACTTTGGGTAATACCCAATGACATCAACTTTACTCAGCTGCTCTGTGTTTCTGACAGGGACAGTCTTCTAGAAGGCCATATCATCAGGGAGCTCCCAAATATAACAAGTCATTCCTGACTTTCAAACCCCCCTATTCTTTCCCCCCGGCCCTGAGCACTTGCAGCTGTGGAGGCAGCCGCAGGACGGGGCTGCCCCGGGGCTGGAGAAGAGAAGAGCTGGAGAAATGGGGCTGGCTGAGAGACGCGTCCTGGCACCACCGAGCCCTTCCTGCCACCGGCCGGAGAGAGAAAAGTGGAGCTGCCAAGCTGAGCTGGGCTTCTTCAGAAACAAGATTAGCTTAATTCCTGCAGTAATTAGTGACAGCAAGTGACAAAACCGCTGGCCTAGCATAGTTCAAAATCCAAACCAACACCTCCAGGAACACACTATTTCTAATACCTATGAAAAAGACAGCGGTGCTTTCTGCCCCTCAGTTAAATGAGTATTTTGGTGATGATACCTTTGGAAAGCCTGCTTAATTCTGCTCCCTCTCTGTGCCACCTGCACCATCATCATTCCCACCTTATACACAAACATGACACTGCGGCCGCATTGAAAGAGCTTTTCTGTGAAGTGCCTAATCTGTGTGTGAAACACTGCAAATATTCAGCTGGACCTTGCTAGGGTCCCTGAGCAAGTTTTCTTTTCTTCCAGCAGCAGCAGCAGCAGCAGCCACAACAGGATGCTCTGCCAGTCAGACTAACAGTCCCTACCCCTGCAAAGCAGATAAGAAAAGAACAAGAGAGGAAAAACTATAAAATCGGCCTTAAAGCCCTTGAACGACAGTTCCCATGAGGTGACAGGATCTGGGGAAGAACTGATTAACGGGAGGGGAAATGCAATATGGGGCACAGAGGGGCTAGGAGAAAAGGAGAAATGAAAGAAGCTAGATGGGAAGAAAATGATAAAAGGGAATTTTATAAATAATAAAGAGGGAAAATGAAGGGCAAAGAAGGAAATGAAAAGGAGGAGAAAAAAATTTGGGAAAAAGAAGAGGGGATAAAAAAGCAAAGACATGTAGAGAAACTCCAGGTTAGTATTTTAATTAGTTTGCCTCGCATTTTTCCCAGATACCATCATGTATGGGCACAGCATCACAATTTGACAGTTAATCAGCCATTTGGGAATTCCTCATAATGCTGTATTAATATTACCATAGCACACTGAAACCTTCCCACAGCCTCCCGGTTCCTGCAGCGCATCCTTCTGCCCTTATCCTCACCCTTTTACGGGGCTGAGAGGCAGCAGAGCTGCAACTCTTCCACCTTCCCAAAGCCACCGGCAGCTGTGGCGTAAGGTCGGCATGTGCCTTCCTGAATTCCCCCCCACGTTGCAGGCGCTCCTGGGGAGGTGGTTACCTGCAGAAGAGCAGCAGGAAGGAAAAACTGGA